TCCTATCACAGGCATGTAGATACAGTATTCAGAAGGATATCTAATTAACTAGTTCCTACTTAAAGACATTTTAAATGTAATGGTGTCTGTTTTATTATTTAATTTATTTAATTTAGATAACTTCTCCCTATCAAATTTGGGAATAGAAGATAGGAGGCGCCTGCACAAGAAGCCTCCCTGAAACAGAAGCAAAAGGAGGCCATTTCTTTCATCTATCTATCTATCTATCTATCTATCTATCTATCTATCTATCTATCTATCTATCTATCTATCTATCTATCTATCTATCTATCTATCTATCTATCTATCTAATTTCTTAATACTTTTTTAAAAAATCTGTGTTTATTTAGATAAAATGGAGTGTTTACATGCACATTCACGTATCTCCCTAAGCTTGCAGCGGAGAGAAACTCTGGATTACAGATCCCATCATCCCCCCATTCAGAGTGGACATTGGGAGTTGTAGACCCCCTGCAAAAAAACTTTAAAACTGCCCCTGATGGTTTAAGTGAGCCCCATGATATGATTTTTTGCTTCATTCACCACCCTCCATCCGTCTGTATCCTTATGTCAGCAAGCGGTCGTTGAAATTTCGGTTGTCGTTATCTTTATCTAAGCTCATATCCATATGTATCAGCCGGCCTCCCTGGAAGTCACAGATAGAATCCTCATCATCATCATCTTAAAACTGGAAGGGACCCGAAAGATCCCCGAGTCTGCCCCCCCCCTCAGGGGACGCCCAGGCAGCCCCTGGTCCTTTTCGCCTCCTGACCTACTCCTTCTTCACAACAATGTTGTGAGGTAGGACAGTGGGGTCATTTTGGAAGGCATCGGGCAGCCCCTCGCCAGACTGTACCCTGGCATTGTGGGTCTCCGACTGGAACCTGGAAGGACAGAAGAACACAGAGCCCCCCCATTGGAAGCACCAGCCCCAAACCTTCCCCATGGTGTGTGTGTTTTTGTCACCCCTCTCTCTCTCTCTCTCTCTCTCTCTCTCTCTGTGTGTGTGTGTGTGTGTGTGTGTGTGTGTGTGTGTACTAATTAGCACCACAATGGCCTGGTCCCTCTGAACTCATCACCCATCCCTATGAGCGGGTACTCAAAATGGCTTCCACCTTGAGTTTGCAAGGTTTTGAGTCACACTGGCCTCCGCGGAAGAGATCTGTGCCCCTTGAAGGCTTGCATGCAAAGTGTCTTTTATCCAGTGGTCGGAGCTGCAAACGTACAGGGCATCACAGGAGGAAATGAATCATCCAGACCAGGCACACACACACCAACGCTATGGACTGCAGAAGGTGCCATTCCTAGCCGTGGTGGGAAAGCCTTCCCATCCCCTTAAAACAGCCTGGCGGGCCCACCCTTCTTTTTGCCACAGCCCCCTCCCCAAAGCAGCCCGCGCCCAGGGAACAGATGGTTTCCACAGTAACCTCCTGAATGACGCATTTCAGGATTTGCCGAGTTCCTGGGTTTTTGTGTTTTTTTGTAATTTCTCATTTATGGGAAGGAAGAGGAGGGGGGAGAAGGCATCGAAAATCATGAGTCTGGAGAGGGGTAAAAGTGCTGAGACTGACGCACGTTCACCCCCCCCAACCAACCACCTCAACAGTGAAACAGAATGCAACCCCCGTGCGAGGGAGTTACGACACGCCGGGCCTGCCCGCATGCATGGATGCAGCAGCATGGCTGGCACAGGCAAACACCGACAAATAAGGAGATTTCTGGCCTGCCATCAGGCGCAAAACCAGGGGGTCATGAAACAAAGGGGAGACATGACGAAGACGTTATGGGGAGAGAGTGACACATAGAGATGGGGGCAGGCAGGGCACCCTGGCACAGGGTGCCAGTCTGCCTGTGCCACCGGTTTTCTCTTTCTCCAAGGCACACCGAGTCACCGCGGGCTCCCTCGGCCAGCCCTTGTTTGTCCGTTTGCCCAGAGCCTCTCCGTCTGTCATGTGTCCCCCCCCCAGCCGCCGACTGAGCCACAAAGACGGTCACGATGTGCTGGGCTCGTCATCCCTGCCGCTGAGAGGCCCAACGGCGTTGCCAACCACATCCCATGTTGTCATCTCCAGGAGAGATCAGAGCGGAAAAAACGACCTTGGGCGCACAGCACTGGTTGTGTTGCAAAGCTTGCTTTCCTTCCTGAAATGGGGGCCCCCTCTTGCCACATTTGAGACTCAGGAAAGGGTGCACACAGAGCGAGAGCCAGGGAGGGGATGATGGGCTCCGCAGGCACGCCCTTGGGGGGGAGCAGCCGCCCCCTGCCTAATGGGGCAGCCGGCCTGGGTGTAGAAACCAAGCCCAGGAACCAAAGCCCAGCATCTCCAGGTAATGGAGGTGTCATGCCACACTGGGGGGGGGACAGGATGCATACACGAGCCCCCCCCCCCAAAATGGGTCCCTGTCCAAGCAGACGGTTTTTCTCCTGGCTGATGGAGCAGGACCGAAGAGGGGGACCTGCATTGGCCGTAGCTTCCTCTCTCTTCCCGAAGCCTCTTCTCCAAAATCTCCCTCCCTCCCAGGACAGACGATGCCCCGCTGGAAGGATGCGGCCCCACGTCATGCAGGCTCACTGGGTCCCCCGAGCCGCGGTGGAGATTGTGGGACAGAAGGAAGAAAAGGGCCACCGCCTCTCCCCGAAACAGGAGATGAAGCTCAGGAAGTTTCGGTGGAGCCGCGGTGGAGATTGTGGGACAGAGGGAAGAAAAGGGCCACCGCCTCTCCCTGAAACAGGAGATGAAGCTCAGGAGGTTTCGGTGGAGAGGCGTGCCGGAGCTCTCCCCCCCCCCTCACCGAAGCCACCTGGATTAGAAAGACTGGAATCACACCAGATGGGAATAAATCCATTTTTATTCATTTAAGGAAGACTATTTCTAGAATAAAGGCTACATTGTACCATTAGTTTGTTTCCATTTTATTATTACATCATCATTATTATTATTGTTATTATTATTATTTTATTAGTAATAGTATTTAGTATGATTCTATTGTTGCGTTGTGTCTTTCTTCTATTTCCCCCACCCCACCCGGCCCCCCCGGCCCCGATCTCTTTTTTTGTTTCCCTTTAAAAAGCCAGTTATGCACAGTAGCGAGGTGTTTTGTTTTGTTGTTGTTTTCATGCTGGCATCGAGAAGAAATAATGTATACTCAGAACAGGTTTTGTTGTATTTACAGGTCAAAGGCTGCCGTTGTCCAGAGTTTTAGAAGCACCATTCATGGCTCAAGACAGGAAAATCTTAGCTGGCCGATGGGGAGGCAAACACCCCTCCCGCATCCTTCCTTCTCTGAGGCCAAACGGAGAAGCAGAAAGGAGCAAATCATGCGTCTTCCGCCAGGGTGAGATTCGAACCCTGCGCCACTCCCGGGGGGCAGCCACAAAATGCTCCCAACGGGGAAAAAGGAAACACCATTGACAAATTCCAGCCACTCAGAGGCCGACAGATTGGCATTTAAAAAAAAGAAAATCATGCTTATTGTGAATTAAGCCACAGCCTTAACTGAGGGAAAGTCGCTTCCCATCCTCTTCTGGGAGGATCAGCATGAAGGATCAGGCCTTCCGCAGTGTGCTTCGTGGACCACATGGATCCTGTGCCAAAGGCGAGGAGGAGGAGGGGGGATCCTGGCCCCAAGCTGCCCTCCTGGTGCTTTAAGCAATGGCTGAAAAGAGACTTGTGCCAGAGGGAGCCTGTTTTCGTCCAGACTGGCTTTGGCGTCTTGCCCTCCATCGGGCAAAGAGGCGAGGGGGTTTCTTCTCCCCACAACCCCTCCTGTGGGGCTGACAAGCAGCAAGCACTGTCTGGGAGAGGGGGTGAAAGAAAAAGGAACCTAGAAGAGGGCCTCAGATTAAAAATCCATCCACCCATCCATCAGATCCCATCGCCACCACTGGATCAGCTCATAACCAAGTCTTCATCAGGCTCCGGAACTAGCACGGTCCGTCTGCATCAGGGTCTCACGTCAGCCCCGATATTCCTACCGGTGGGAAGAGCTTCCCTTGAAATTTAAAAAAAAAAAAAGCCTCTCAGGCCTGAAGGATCTTTGTAGGCGGCTTCGTTCCAGATTTTAAGACCCCCATTAAACCCTAAGAGGGTGCCTTTTATTACGCCTCTGCTTTGCAAACCACCCTTTGGAACAGTGAGGACTAGCATCTTCCTTTGGCGGTGAAGGGGAAACACCACTTGCTCAGCTGGAATTGGCCTCCCTGGGCCCTAGAGCCGGACTTGGAAGAAGTGCGTGTGTGTGTGTGTCTGCCTCCACCCCAAATGTTGGCCCCTGGAGCACAGTTTGCTGTCCGGTCCCTTGTGCGAAAACAGAGCTGCTCCATCCCGGGCTGGAGGCCTTGATTCTTGTGCTTTGGATGGGTGGAGAAAACAGTGGGTTCCTGCATCTGTTCACGGAGAGCCGGGAGAAGCACCTCCTCGGAGAAGTGGACGGTGGGCTTCCCGGCTGGTGAGACCCCCGAGTTAAAACATGGCTGGCTTTGTTTCTGAAGACATTTTACCCAACGAGAGGTCTGCTCGTGAGCTGGGGGGTGGCGGCAGAGGGCCTCTTTCCCCCAGACCCCAAACATCCTGGCTGGCTTCTCACCTTCAGATTTGAGATCCACTTTGCATACATAACACCTAGAGCCTTCTTCTGAGCCCTCTGCACAGATGCTTTTCTTATTTTACAAGGCAAATAAGTTAAAAAAGAGCTATTTCCTCTAGATAAATAAACAGAAGAATAAGTAAGTGTGGCAGGTCGAAGGAAGGAAGGAAGGAAGGAA